TCGATTAATAAATATAAGTGAAACCATAATAACTAGATCTATATTTATATGTTAGTGTTAAATTAGACTTAAGAAAAAAACACTATGTAAACTTCGGATTACCATTGTTAATCACTCAATACGAAGCTTGGCGAAATTCTAATGAATATGAGATTTTCTAAACACAACTTTTGGCTCCTTATTATCAGCCATGGAGGCTTTGTTGAAATTCCAGCAAGAATTCAAAACCAAAACCAAGTTAATATCATAAAAAGGAAACAACCCAGATTTCCTAAACGAGGAATTAACACATTCCAGTTTATTGAAAAGAAAATTGCAATGCAAAGTAAAACGGAAAAAGAAGAAATTTTCTGGGAAAATTAGAAAGAGAAAAAAGATTGGAGAGTAATATTTGTGTGCCTGTGAGGGAGTGAAAGTTGGGTCTTCGAGAGGCTGACATTGTTCAAGAAGACCGTTAAGTTTGGTTTTTCTTTTGCCTTTGTTTTCGAGCCAAATAGTGGTTATTAACGAAGTCTTAGCCAAATGTCTGACATCCGGGACTTAACCCAATTTGTTCCTAAAAGCATCTTTGAAAATATATTTAACACGTTTTAATTCAATTTCTAACACATTTGCTCCATTTTATTTATTTTTGGTTTATGAAGAAAAGAGAGTTTTTATATAATCACTAAGGTGTAAATGAATTAAGCTTGAACAAACAAGATTATGCTCATGTTCTTTTGTTTATTTTTAAAGATGTTCGTATTCGATTTGTGTTCGTTTAAATTTATAATATCGTGTTCATGTTCGTTTAGCATTCATGAAAATGCTTGTTTATATATTCACAAACATGTTTATTGAATGTTCGCGAATATATTCATTTGTAAGCTTAAAAATTGTATAATTTTGTAACTGATGTTTAAACTTTTTAAGCTTCATAGTTTAAACTCCGAATTTCACCATGCATTCAATGTTTAAAATGTAAAAAAAAAAGTAAATGAGCTTATAAACAAGTCATTAAATATACTTGTTCATGAACATAAACGAACAAGTCAAAAAACGAGTTTGTTTGTGTCACACTCTATCCCATATTAGCCACACACAAAAAAATATAATAATATATATATTATAGCACTAAGAATAAATATAGAGCACTAAGCCATGTTACAATTTTTTTATTCAAAATAATAAAGGGTTGTTTTATTATTATAGATGGATGATTACCCATGTTGGCAAATTCCTCTTCCCCGGTGTTTTAAACTCAATTTCCTTCATTTAAGCTAGCTGCCACCCCTCTTCCTCCTCCTTGCTCCGACCGGCGGTGGACAGCACCGCCACCTCCATCAGGTGCGCCTGAGTTCCGCGAAGCGATCCCGACCAACCTCGTTCCGAAATCGATCACAATTAGGCCAAATCGAGAAGGGAAATAGACACCCAAAACCCCAATCGTCGTTTTAATTCTGTCGATTCCGACCATTTCAACGACCGTCTTGTTTCGTCCGTTCGTCGTAGGTAAAGTCAGATCGTTTAATTTGGATAATATTTCAGTGTTTAGATTAAAAACATATTATAGTTGTTGTTGGTTTAGATTGTTGATAAATAGTTTTAAAAGAATGACTAATATGTAATTAATTTATGTTATGGAGCTATTTTTGTAAATAGTTTTAAAAGAATGACTAATACGAAATTAATTTCGGTTATGGTGGTATTTTTGTAAATATTGTTAAGAATGTGTTAGTTCCGTAAATATTGTTAAGAAGGTGTTAGTTTCGTAAATATTGTTAAAAAATGTGTTATTTTTGTAAATATTTCTAAAAGGGTGTCATTTTCGTAAATATTTCTAAAAGGGTATTATTTTCGTAAATATTTTTAAAAGGGTGTTATTTACGTAAATATTTTAATAGTGTTATTTTTGTAAATATTTTTAAAAGGGTGTTAGTTTCGTAATTAATTCTGTTAGGGTGCTATTTTTGTAAAAGTTGATTGTATTGTGAGTATCGTTGACCAGAACTTTGACCGGCATTGACCGGCCATTAAACGGACTTTGACTTTTTCCGAGTATACCTATCCTGACATTTTTCGATGTTCCGAATCCGTTTCCGAAGTTCGTTTCTCCAAATTCGAACCCGAAGGCCTCCAAATCGTCAGTCAACCCCGTTGACTTTGACTTTGACCAAGAATTTGGATTTTCGAAAAGTCATATTTTATGTTTTTCGATGTCCTGATTCCGATTCCGCAATCGGTTTGGTCAAATTTAGACTCGAAAGCCTCCGAATTAGCCCGTAAACCTGAAAAATTCATATTTATCTAAGTGTTTTAATTTAGTTAATTGAATTGAATGGTCAAGGACTAATTATAGTTATGTTAAAGGTACTCGGGGATCTCCTGATTGTTTCATTGCTCGACCTGGTTCCTCTCGATCCGTTCGACCACGTGAAGTCGTGAATACTCGAATAGTTCTGAAACCCTGTTAGTTATTCTGTTTAGAATATTATTCCAAATATAATCATGTTCTGATATGGCTTAGGTTCCCGTTCAGTCGAAGAGCCTAGTGAAGCTGGTACTCGATAGATCTTACAGATTGACCCTATTATCGAGGTGTATTCCTTATGTGCAGTATAAATGTTTTAAATATCTGTTTGAAATCTCATATGCACATGATTGTTTTCTCTGATTTGAAATATAATGTTTGATCTGATTTGACTACTGTATGATTTACTTGATTTCGGATTTACTGAAATATAAAGCATGATTGTCCAACTTATGATTTCTGGAATACCGGTTTATTTGAACTGATGATCTGTCTAAACTCTGAATTTCTGTTACTACTGGTTACCATCTGAAAAATGTTTTCTTCGGGGTACTCTGGGTTCTGGTATGAAGACTCTGGCAGGTTCAGTCGCTGTTGGTAATTCCTCTGACAGGTTCAACACCGATTGATAATTCCTTATGGACCTAAGTCGAGCCTTAGGTAGGCTCTGCGGGCCTGAGAATTTTCTTGGGTAATCCTTAGTGGCCCCAGGAATTGTCTTGGGTAGGCTCGCAGGCCCCGAGTTACTCCCTTAGATTGTGCAGTTCTGGGGATCTACACACGGCGTTCGGTTGGAGGACGATGCAGAGTTTTTAAATTAAAAACTCCTAGGAGGTTTTAATAACTGTGACATGTACTGGTTTTAAAAATCATAATTGTATGTTTTTATTTCTGCACTGTCGGGACACACTGAGCCTCTAGCTCACTTTTCAAATTGTTTTACCCCTTTCAGATACTCTCGGATAGACACTCCGTATCAGGCACTTGGAGGATTGGTACATTTAGTTCAGAGTATTTTGTTGTAAAATTCTGTTTTCTGAACTGTTTTTAATTATGGTGGCATGTACCTTATTTCTGAAGTATTTATCGTTTTATGACGTTTTCTGCTGTTGTTATTGATGTTTGATTTTCGATGCTCCGGATTTATTTCATGTAATGTTTTACCTGGTATCTTTTATGTTTTATATTTACGAATTTAGTTTTTATCGTTAATTATTATATACTTTTATATAAAGGTCATTTGCAACATGATTTTAAATTATCGAATAATGTTTTTGGAAAAAATGACTTTCAGAATTTTTAATGTAATCCGCTAGACTTAGCCGAAACGCATAGGTCGGGTCTAGGGGGTTACAGTTTGTGAACATAAACGAACCGTACACACAAACGCTCGTTTATTAAATGAAAATAAAAAATTTGTTCATACTTATTTATTTAACTTAACAAATGAACATATTATATTTTGACCCATATTATAATTAGTAATTAAATTGAATTTTATTGCAATTCTAGTAGTTGAATATTTATTGGTAATTGACTTTATTTAATAAATAATTATTTTAGACAAGATAAAAAATTTTAGTGACTAATTATTTGACTCTATAAATAGAGATTATTTCTTAACCTTTAAGGTTATGAAAGAGAGACATGTTTTGGAGAAATATAATTTTTTGTGAGAGTTGTGTGATTTTTGGGGTTTATGTTGCAGAGATAATTTTGTAGAGTTTTGGGATACTCCGAGTTTTGGTATAGATATCGAATTTTAGAATACATATGATATCATGTATTTGTACTCTTTGTGATCTCTACATCTGTAGTGAATTGTTTTTCTTCTTACCTGTAGAGGTAGGTAAGTTCGAACCACGTTAAATCATGTCTCTTGTGTATGTCTTCTTATATGTTGATATCGTTTAATTCATTTTGGTTTTCATTGTGAAATTCTTAACAAACTATATCATAGCTATAGTTTGAACTATGATGTTTTGAAGGAATTTGTGGATGTGAATTTCTAGCGATTTTTTATATATGCAAGATGATGATGCAATGAGTTTTCAATTGTAGTGGAATAATTCTCAATTGATCCAATGATGCTTTAACAGATATGTGGCTTACATAAAGATTGAAGTTATTGAAGATTTGAAGATCAATTTTTGATGAAATTTAGATCAATGAGAATATTTGTTATATTTTAACCCAAATTATAATTGGTAATTAAGTTAGATTTTATTATAATTATAGTGATTTCTTAGTAATTATTTTATTTATTAAGTACATATTTATTTTCTTAAGAATTTTAGGTGAGCAATATTTGGCTTTATAAATAAAGATTAAGTCTTAGTCTTTAGGGTTATGCGAGAGATAATTATTTTGGAGGGATTATTTGATCTCTTTTGGGATCTCTGTAACTTTTGGGTTTATGCTGCAGAGATTGATTTTGTAGAGATTTGGGATACTCAGGATTTTGGTATAGATGTTAGATTTTAAGATACATGTGCTATTGTGTATTTGTATCATTTGTGATCTCTACATCTATAGTGGATTGTTGTTCTTCTCGCTCCTGGAAGTAGACAATGTCAAACCACGTTAAATCTTATTTATTGTACATATCTTATTTTATGTAAACTCCAATTTCAAGCGGTTGTTTATTTACAGATATTGTAAACTTTAGAAGACAAACATTTCCATACACAGCATATTCATTCTTAAGCCTTTAATTTGTCGATCAGTTCTTAGTTCTTTAATTGAAAATAGTGTCGTGGACCGCTTTCGTAACATGATATCCGGCGGAGCCAACCAAATTAAATCCAAATAACCCTGCAGTTTGATTGCTCATTGCGTTGCCCGTTTTGCAATACACAGCAAAGTCCTCGCAATTGTTGAGTAAAAAATTGTAGCTCCCGAAGCTCTTGTCTTCGAGCAGACGATAGGCCGTTTCGATGACTTCGTTTGCCGGTTTGCAATCCCACATGCTGCAAGAGCCACGGCGTTTGAAAACCAGTTTTAGGTAAGAAACGTCATATTTGTAGAGGTAGAGCGAGTGGCCTTCGAGGAAGCAGTCGAGGCAGGTCTTGAATATCCCTGTTTGTGGCTTGAACCCACATTTCTTGCAGGGTGCTCGGTTGTAAGTCTTGCTTGGTCCCATTAGATGTATCACCATATCATCGCCCACATATATGCCTGGTGTAACCAAAGCTCTCTCTTTCACTTTGAAATCAAATGATACTATATAGAATTATTATCATATGCAATGAATTATTTTTCACATGATTTTGTATGTAAATTTGGATTTTTATTAGGTTCTGCCTTTTTCCGTATGAAAGTTATTTCAGAATATAAATGCTCTTTTATATATCCATATATCGCTATTTTTGAATGCAAATATGTTGTTAAAATTGGTTTATCGTTTGGTAACAAAAAGAAAAAATGTTTCCTCGAGCTAAAATCCATAGGGCGGTTCCTACTATGACATCCAATTTTTTTTACCGTGTAAAGTGCTCAAGTCTAAAATGGGTAAAGTACACAAATGTCTCTCGCCCATAGGATATTATTTTGTTGAGTCTCCTAATTATTAAAAGTTGTAAAATGGTCCCTCAACTATATGGTGTTATTTTGTTGAGTTCTCCGACTATTAAAAGTTATAAAATGATCACTTGACTATTTATATGTTTCAAACTCGTCATTTTCTATTGAAAAATTAGTGGTTGTTTGAGTTGGACATTAACATGCCGACTAAAATATGATAAAATCTGATCTCATAACTGTTTGAGCTTTATTTTGTAGATCGACTCTCTGTTTACATTATGTCATTGAGTCAATGCTTAAAATATTGAAAATATTGTGTCGTCGAGTTAATGCTTGAAAGCAATGGTGGTACTAGTAGACATCATTAAAATATGATTGTTATCATATCACGATCAACATGTTAACATTAAGCTTAGACGGTCGTCATTTTTCATGAAAAATGATAAGTTTGGGACATATGAATAGTCGAGTGACCATTTTGTAACTTTTAATAGTTGGATGACTCAACAAAGCAGCACCTATAGTTAAGGGACCATTTGTGTACTTTACCCCTAAAAAATACTAAAATATTATATTAAAACATATTTTAAAAATCATGTTAACATAAAAAATTGATGGATTAGCAAAATAGTAATAATAAATAAAATAACAAATCCATGCATGTTGTTGGGTTTTCCCAACTAAAGAAGCAAAAGATTGAGGAAAATTATAAAATTTTCTGATTTTTAAAGGAAATGAAAAGAGAAAAATAGAGGGAGTGTACCATGATGATAATAGAGACGTAATGTCCTGTCAGAAAAGATGTGATCTCCCGGTCTTAGATCGTCTCTTCTAACTGTTCTCATCCTTTTCCCTCACCCTTTAAACTTGTTATGTTTGCTTTGTTGAACCCCATCACATATGTATATATATACATAGAAATTGTAATTCAGAAGCCAAAGCATCCAACTAAAGAGAATTCTTAATAATGTTAGAATGAAGAATCATTTAATATAGATCATTGATTTTTGGTATCACTTTATTATAAATGTCTGAGATAAGGATAAGGTACAGAAATGATTTCTCGATTTTAAGACGTTGCTTTGTTGAATCCATCTACTATTAAAAGTTATAAAATGGTCTCTCGACTATAAGGTGTTATTTTGTTGAGTCCTCCAACTATTAAAAGTTATAAAGTGTTCATCCAACTATTCATATATTTCAAACTCTTCCTTTTCTGTTAAAAAATTTACGGTCTTCTAAACTAAACATTAATCTGTTGATTGAGATATGATAAAATCTAATCCTATAACTGATTGAGTTGTATTTCATGGATCGACTCTCTGTTTATATTATGTTCTCGAGTCAATGCTCAAAAGCAATGTTGGTAGTGCGAGTAGATATCATTAAAATATGATTTATCATATCTCAATCAATTGGTTAACGTCCAGCACAGAGGGCTGTCATTTTTTAACAGAAAATGATGAGTTTGGAACATATGAATAGTCAAATGATCATTTTGTAACATTTAATGGTGGAGGCTCAACAAAACAATTTCTTATAATTAGAGGATTATTTTGTAACTTTTAATAGTTGGAGATTCAACAAAACAACATTCTATAGTCATTAGACCATTTATGTACTTTACCTTTAAATAACTACACCTAGAGTTATTTGTAACGAGACATTACTATTTGATTCACTTAATTATACGTATAAATTGGTATATTGATATTGTATCAAATATGAATTATATATATACAATAAGGTATTTTGATTAATCTAAGGCTGATTACAATGTTGTATCTGTTCGAAAGATTTTTAATCAATTTGATAATAAATGCTCAAACACCCTTAACATATGATATGCTCGAACCTGAGACCTCTAGAGATGATAATCACCTCTTTAATCTCTGAGATAATTTGGTTCATGTCAATAAAGTGTATTTTGATATCGTAAAGTAATTGCAGGAATGTATACTTATATATCTCTTATAGTTATAACGAATTTTGATTTTATAAATATACTTAGATGGAAAAATGTAATTAAATAATTTATTGAAATTTAATGACTAAAAATAAATAAATAAATTTTAAAGTTATTATGACTAATTATAATTATAATTCTTAACCCGATAAAAATTAAAGGGTGTAATTAGAATATTTAGATTACACTCATCTTAATGGGATGCACTGAATGATAATAAAAATAAAAACTAAAAATGTTGTAAATTATAATTATAATCAATTACCTATAAATTCAATTATTCGATTATTTTTTAAATATAATCTTAATAAAATATAAATTCATTTTTATTAAAAATTTATATAATAAAGTTTAAGAGGTGAGCGTGTCTTGATCATAATTATATAATTATAGAATGGTATGTGGATTTGTTCTATCAAATGTTTAAATATTAAAATTTAAATCTAATTTGTTAAATTAATTATATTACATACATGGAACGAAAAAATTGACTAAAATTTTGATTTTTACATTTTACTTTTGGCAAATGAAGAGTGAGAACAAAATAATGTAACAAACGTTCTAATAATTGATAAATGTGATAACCTAATTTACGTAATTGTATTTAATTTCTTTTTTAATTTGAAAAAAATATTATTTTAATCAGATTACAAAACGACTGATCTTTTATTTTTGTATTAACAAAAATATCTAAGACAGTGTAAGGAATATATATCACATGGGCATATGACGTTGTAGAGATGTCGTGTGATAGCTTTGGCATATACTTCCTTGGAGAAAATGCCATATGTTAGTGTTACGATTTTTATTTGGGTTAATTGTATGTATCGTTATTAAATAATAATTAAATTTTATTTTGGTTTTTAAATTTTAAATTATTGTAATTAGATCTTGAAACTATCATTTTACATCAATGAGATTTTTTCATTATTAAAATCATTAGTCTAACCAATAAATATTATATCAAATCTTATATGTATTCTATTATAATTTTTATGGTATTTTATAATCAATAAAAATCCTACACATTAATTAAAAGAAATTAATATATTTTTTTATTATTATCCATATCATTTTAATTTTTTAATTATAAAATATCTTTAAAACACCTTAAAAATTAAAAATCTATAAAAGTTACTAAATATTTCCAGTCACAGAACCGCCATTGATCATGATGAATCGTCTTGACGTATTATATATGTCATATTGAGTCTAATGCTATGACTAGGCTTAAGAATAAAAAGATCCAAAAATAAATTATAAACTCATTACATATATGTTGTAAAATTTGTGTTCTTCTGATTTGGTTCTTAACTTCATTTTTCCAAGGAATGAGCTCTTCAGCTAAACTTTCATTTACGATTAGAGAATTTGAGAAATTACGATACAGACGTTTGGAAGTTCGAAACTGATATCCCTAAGAAAAGATAGTCACAAGCCTTGATTATGGTCGACGTTACAGTCATTTAACGACGAACCTTTCCAAATGTATAAATTCAATGCTTAAAGGGACACACCATCAACAAATAGTAAGTATTATTAAAGAGGCTTACTTCAGATTAGGTAGAGTTTGATTAGACAAAGGCGAGCAAGTTAAGGCCATGATTAACAACAAGAGACATTAGGCTTCGTTTCCCAATAGTAAGTATTATTAAGGAGACTTACTTCAAGTTGGGAAGATTTTGATTAGACAAAGGCGAAAAAACTGAGGCATGTTCAACAATGAGAGACATTAGGCTATAGATTTGGAGGAAACAATATAGAAAAATCAATTGAAGGCAATCTCAATGTTTGTTAATGCGTTCTTCCGACTTGATGCAAATTTTGTTGTTCGACAACATCACAGAGAAAATTCTATCACCTAACAAGGTAATCTTAATAGAAGACATTATGACCGTAGTCGGTTTCAAGTATTTAGATTCCCATGCTCACACGTTATCACGACATGTATCCACGTTAATATTAACCCATACACGTATGTTGATGATTGTTTTATCCTACACAATATGCATAACATCTACATTTGTGAGTTTAAGCATATCTCGAACGAAACTTATTAACCTAAAGACTAAATTTATGAAGAATGGTTACAAGATCCAGTTCTGCGTAAGAAGATGAAGATTCAACTTGAATCTATATGTATTCATACAAATATGGAAGATACTGAAAGAAAAGAAAGTCAACCAAAGTGTTATGGGTATTACAGAGGTGAAGGGCACAACAAAAAGCATTGTTTGAATCTTCCAAGCTATCGAGCTGGACGATGAAACCATTTCTAGTTCTCTAGATTAATATATTTCACTTTATATTTTTGAAATGTTGTTGTAATTTCTTTCATTATGTTTGATTATTTATTCTGAACAAACTTTTTAACTGATCCTGCAATTTAAGCTTCTATTTAATTATTGTGTTTTTGACACATACACTTTAAGTCATTATTTTATGTAGATAGTTGTAAATATCATATATATTATCAATTAAAATATTAATTAAATTAATTCTAATTACAACTCCAAACATAAATTTAAACCGTAAAAGTCAAAATACCTGGAGTCTAATTCATTCACTTATTATTTCACTACACCCACAACATAATTTTTGTGTACACTTTTCTTTATTTTTTTCATTTCTCTCAATAAGTTGTTTGCTACGTCATATTGATAATTTTTCAAATTCCTCACTATTTCTTTTTTAAAAATACTTTGATCTTCTCCGATTTCTCATAATACAAGATGATTATAAAGTAATATTTATTCAGAAATATATTAAATGAAATTAAAAAAAATCACTTATAATAGTCCGCAAATCAAATTCAAACAAGCGTATAGTGGAATAATGCAATGAAAAATGTAAAGCAGTGGTGGGGAATCAAATAAAAGAAATTGTTCTTATGCAAAGTATAAATGCATCTTTAGTTGATATATTTGAATCAAATAATATGCCTCGACTGGGGTGGGGCAGTAACAAAAATTATTAAAACCTGTAGTTGATATTGACCTCATGCTTCACTTTTTGGATTCTCATACAAACACTCAAATAATATGGGACTAAATTTAAATTTTTATTTAATTGATTTGCGTTATTATTATTAATTAAAACAAAATTTCACAATACTCAGAGGTTGGTATAAGTTGGGAATTGAGATGCTTATTTACAAGGGTTTGTTTTTATTTTATAAAGCACACAAAAGTTATATTTTTAATCTTTTACATAATTCGAAAATACCGAATTATGGGGTTCCTAATTTAAAAGTTATTAAATTGAAAATATACTTTTTGTTGCCAAAGTTTTAAAAGGGTCTTATTACATTCATAGTAAAATGCAAAGTAAAAAACATCTTACGAGTAAGACTTACAAAAGAAAATTAAATGATCATTTAAAAATCTAAAAATATATTTTAAAAAATTAAGAAATAAACATGTAATTGTCGTTCTAATTATATTTGTGGAATTTTAACTTTCACGAGTAGTATACTGAATAATAATACATTTTTGAGATATATGGAGTTTTTTCTATGGTTAAACACATCTTTGCTTACAACTCTTTTCGAAGTTTTTCACTCTTAGCACTAATATGGCCTTCTATATATCACTCTCAAATAATTACACTTTTAAGTCCCCCTCATTTTCTCCCTTCTCCTAAAACTCACAAATTGGGCCTCTCCCCTAACAAGGCTCAAGTCTTTAACTAACAACTCAAAACACTAAAGTTTACTATTTATTAGCTTGTGTCAACTCTCAAGATTGACTTAGCAGGTCGTTACATGATTCAAAAGGATATAGATGTTCCACTAAAAGTAAAGTTATAAAAATTTGCAACAACTTTCTCATTGTGATGGAAAGGCAAAAAATTATTATCAAATTTTATGTTCTATATAGTTGAACAATTTTATATGATGTATTTGTTGCTTCCTCGTTTGTGTTAGATGATGGATTTATAGGTGAAAACATCTTTTGATTGAACAAACCATAAGAGGATTTCATGTTGCACAAGACAATTGTAGGTATAATGGTTTTGAGAAGTGTCGTAGCTGATTTTCGGGAGGAAGATCGATCAGTCTATTTTGAAAATAAAAGGATTTTTATGAAAATATGCGAGTCGCCACCAATCATTTTTAAGGTGAGATTAGAACACTATAAACCAAAGACCCTACACTTTCCTTCCGACCACCGCCTTGGTACCTAAAACTTACCAACTGCCACCAACGGTGGTTGGTTGAACCAAAGCTCAACCCCTAAAAAAGAACCTAACCTCTTTTCATCTAAACCCTAAAAAAAGAGCCCTCAACCCGACGCAAGCTCGACTTCTAACTCCGGCGACGACCTCTCGGCAATCCCGACGACCGGCGACCGACTAAGGGTAACAACTAACTCTCTTCTCTTTTTGTTTGGTTTTGAAAGAATAAAAAACGATTGCTGTGGGGAAAAAAGTTAACCTTTTGAGGAAAAAAGTTTGTTGTTATATTGCTTTGCTTTGCTTCAAATGGGGAAGAAGAGCGACCATATATTTTTCCAAATAAAGAGCTCCTTTTACACTGTATTGTTTTTCTTGCTGAAATAATCAAGAGCCCCCAAAAAAATGAAAATTTTGGGGTTTTATATTCATCCCTTTTTTACAAAATGTCAAAAACAAAAAAAAGACTATTTTTTCGTTCTTTTGTTTTGTGTGCTTGCATGTGTTGCTGACAACGTATGGAGGGGACCATTTGGCCGCATGCATGGCGAGGTGAGGAGCTGGCGTGGACCGTGGGGCTAATGCGCGTGAGGGGCTATTGGTGACTGATGTGGAAAGTGGACCACAAGTTGCTGGGACGTGGCTGTTGGAGAGTACGGCGGCGGCAGCTAAGGGTGGGAGCCCTAGGTTTTATCAAAATGTTTAGGATATGGGCTGATATGTTGTAATGGGCTTGGGTAAAATGTAGATGTCTATTTGAATTGGGTTATCGTAATGGGTTTTAATTTGGGTGGCATTTGGACTTGTAATTTAAATTTGGGTGATGTAATGAGTTAATTTAATTTGTAAATGGACATTTAATTTGGAATGAGTTTAATCATTTGAGTATTTGGCTTAATTTAGACTTTATACTTATGATGAACATCCATGGTTCCAAGCTCAACTAAGCCTAATTAAGCAAAGGTGTAAACTCATCATTCACAATCAAACTCCTTCCGCGCTCCCATCACATGTATAATTCCACGAACCACTTTCACCAGTGCCATCAATGTCACTTAAATTAATTTGACCTTTCGATCATCTGTAATATGATTTGAATTATCTGGACAAAATTAGTTCCATGACCATAATAAAATTGAGAAGGAATAGAGAGTCTAATTGGTCACATTGATTAATAACAAAAAGGATAAGATTTTCATTGATGATCGAAATTGTGTTATACATGATATTGCTTGTAGTGATACAGTTATGGGAAAATTCGATACTTAGTATAACCTTATCGATATGAAGACTAAGTTACCTCATATATCCAGATTTCGACAAGACTTGGATTCGGTTGGCTATCATTGTTAAAGCATACCCTTTTAAGGAGTTTCGTAGAAGTAGAAAACTTGGTTGTCAAGATGAAGAAATGATTTTTTTTGTTGAGTGTGTTTAAATTTGGGATTTTTTGTATCCAATTCCTTGCACGTTCATAATTCATGTCAAGATGATGATTATTAGAGTTTGATCTGAATTCAATCAAACTCAAATTAATAAAGTTATAAAATTAAAATAAAATTGATGAAGATAAGAAACCTAATTTGAATGAAAGTATGAAACATTTTTCTTTTATGTTGATTAATATAAAAAAAAAATCTTTGAGCAGATCTACATTAACTAAGTTTCTTATATAATAAGTAGCTATCTCTATAGATAGATACTAGAAATTAGGGTTAGAAGAAAAGTTACTTATAAGGATTTCTCTTATATTCAACCCTGGTATATGAGATGGCAACTACAAAAGGATTTTTAGCCAGTATTCTATTTCCCAGTGAATTCTGGCTTGTTAGCCTTGCAAGTCGCCCTGCTCCCATGTCTTCAAGCTTTCTCCTATGCTCGAAATAACCGATATATTCAGAACATATGGGATCAAGTTAATTCACAAATAGACACGGAATCCACCCAGATATTACAGCAAATGAATCCTCAATACCCTTTGAATTGTTGTGGTTATCACTTGCAGCAGCAAATGCAAGGCCGGCTTTGATTAAAGTTCCTGCAAATCGAAGTCCATGCCTCACTCTCTCATCTTTGACGACTCTCTCAATCGGAGGAGACACAAATGGGGGATTAAACAAAAAAGCTTCCAAGAAACTGCCTCTCTTCGCCATATTTTTTCCAGCAAGCATTGTAATGGCTGCCCCTAGGGAATGGCCGGCTAACCAGACATTTGAAGAACCAAACACTGGGGCCACAGCTTGAACAGCTTTCATGGCCATCTTAAAACGACTACTCTCATGAAGTCCATTTCGGATTACATTGAAATCCAAGTCGAGATCCCTAAAAATTGATCCTTCTTTCTTTAAAGTGGCTCGAAAGGCAAATACAAATTGAGGGCTTCCATCGATGGAACGATGATAGGTATAAGTCGGAGGATTGTATTGGTAAATGGCGCCGAAGATGCTGTTATCATCCTCATCGATTAGCTGATAAATCAATTTGAAGCTGAAAGCCTCCCACCATGGTGGCGCAAGGCATTGAGAACCTTGACGTTTCTCTTGTCGATCACTTTCCAGTATGTAAGCACATTTAACCAAGCAGGCTGATACGCACCTTCGATGGTCGGCGTTGTGCCAGTCAACGCTGCTAAGGTGTTTGGGTCCCCAGCGGCTAAAATCTTCACTTTCAGATCCCATTGTAACACTGGAAACTGTTGAGCTTTCTTGTCTGAAATTTTTCCTGCAATATTTTAAGGCAGTGAATTATGTATTGGATTTTTATGAAGATTTGAAATGATTTTGATGATATTTCATGAGTATATATTATCAACGAAATTGTTCATCTGAGGAATATGCTTCATGATCCCATCGGAAAAGCTTCCATGATGGATGTTTGTTCGGAATAATATTATCTCCGACGATTTTTTCCCCACAAGAAAAATCCCTAAAATTAGGAATCCTACTTCTAAAAATGATATAACATAGCAGCAGTTAGTTCTTCAATTTAACGACTTTTTAAATTATTATTTTTTTCATATTAATCCATAAGCTTTGGTTTCTTATCGTTTTAAGCAGCAAATTTAAAAATGAAATAAAACAAAAAACAAAATTAAGCAATCCCATGTTAAATTAGGGATAAAAGTCTATACAATTTACTTCAAAGTTTTCGTGTAATTCTTACGCTTTAACTTTAAATTATTAATTTTATCTAAAAATGCATCCACATGATATTTGTGAAAAACACGTGTCTATATGAGCATGAATTAAGTCAGACAACAACGCATGTATATTTATCTTGTATTCCATCTTTAAATGAGTATATGTTTAAAAAGATACATATATTCAATCATTGAATGAATATATGTTTAAAAAAGATATATTTAAATACTTTAAAAGTCTAACAATGTGATATTTAAAAATTCATGACAAAAATTGTTGATTTTGAGTTATCAAAGACATGTCTTAAATTTTGCTCAGACTCGTATCAGTATGATAGCTAAAGAAAATTTTAGATACTTGAAATTCTCTGTCAGTTGTTATTGTCTGAAATACTTGAAATTTGAATAATCAAAACTTCCTTTAATTATTATAATGACATGTGTTTAATTAAAATTTAGAACATGCATTTAATAGCTCAAAATCAATGTTTTTTGTCATAAGATTTTTTGAGTCTCACATTATTTAGATTTTTTTTACAAATGTTTGAATTAACAAACATGCATTCATTTAGTGATTGAAGAAAATAATCACTTATACGTTACTTATTAATAAAGCACATATGTATTAAGAAAAAATAAAGCAAGTACATTTAGTCGATTAAATTATTCATCTTTGTCTTACTCATGGATTCTGACTCATTAGGAGAATTCCCCTTCCTTCTCCTAGAGTATCCCTCCCCTCTAAATAAAATTATAGAATTAGATTTAAAATTTATTAAAAAATATTAAGAAAAATAAATAAACCGATAAGATGAAATTATAACTGCATAGTATCAAGTCAAAGAATAATGAAGGTTTTCCCATGATTTTGGGTTTCCCTCAAAGAATATAAACAATAAAAACAAAATAAAGCAAGTAATAATAAAGAGTGAAGGAAAGAAGATTACCAACAAAGATGAGATGAAGAGAAGTGAAATTTGTTTTGAGAGATGTTATCGTTGATGAGAACACCAATTTATAGATGGAAGATAATTCATATTTCCCCAAACCAATCCAAAGGTAGGAAAGAATAAGAATTGATACTATGCAGTTATAATTTCATCTTATCGGTTTATTTATTTTTCTTAATATTTCTTTTAATAAATTTTAAATGTAATTCTATAATTTTATTTAGAGGGGAGGGATACTCTAAGAGAAGAAAGGGGAGTTCTCCTAATGAGTCAGAACCCACGAGTAAGAGATCAATGACCTCGTAAGCATTTTTGGTAATGTTTGCTTGATGTCGATTCTCATTTTGACGATCAGATCAATGTTGAAATTGATAAATTTTGTGCCCGGCTCGTCCGCACATATATCAGTTGATAGGCTTGACTTGTGTCTGGTCTTTTCTTGGCTTCTTGATGTTGATTGTCTTCTGAGGTCTATGCTTTTTCATTTGCTTTCCTTGGTTCTTGGTCCTTTTGGGTTTAGAACCTGAGGTAGATCTAGATTTCACAATAATAGCCTTAAAAGAAAATTTATTAGAAAAGTTAGACGATTAACCTCTTCTATCTTCATGTGTCCTATCAATTCTTCTAGAGGAATGTCACTCTTCTTATGCTTCAACAAATTGTGATAGTCAGACTATAACTTTGGCAACTTCTCGATATAAACCATGGCTTGCAAAACCTCACATATTTGCATTCCTTCGACGAGTACGCCAGCAACCAACTTCTCGTAATCATGGACTTGAACCATGATGGACTTGTCATCTCGAACTTGAGTCAATCAGAAAATAAATACAAAAAACATTATAATGGCTTAACCCTAGGGTTTGCCTGACGCATACCATAAATTTAACATGTTTTACTTTTCTCTAATTATGACAGTAAGCAAGAGTACAATTTCCTACAGCAGTCCATACAAATCCATAACACCAATCAGTTAACTTTAACCACCAGAGTTGTCTACCATTTTATGATCACTAAGATGACATCAAACTCAAAACAATACTTAGTACCCATAGTTGGAGCCATAAACAGAGCCATACCCTCCAGGGTGACCCGGATTGGAAGGAGGTGATGCATATACAGAACCATGTGCTGCATAAGGATTATAGGTTTGGTCTGGGACCCCACCTGCTTGCGCCTGAGGCTGAGCCGCTGCAGCAGCATCAGCCATGAAATTCTGCAACATGGTAATTAGTATTATATCCCCAGACCATCAAATTCTATACAACTCTCAACACATTTCATACAAGGCCGTCATGATTAACTACTCGATCACATTCCACTCAGCAAGATATATGGGAATTAGGTACCACAATCATCATTTCAAGGAAATAAGGACAAAGAATATTGCCTGTATCAGTGGCTGAGCAGTTTGAACTTGTGAAGCAGTTCCACTTATTTCAACTGTCATTTCACCAAGGACACCCCGAGTTTCTTGAATGGTGACAATCGCCCCACTAGCACGTCGAATATAACTAATACTTGCACCAGCTGTCCCAATAACAGCATCAGCATAAGAAAGCGGAATTTGCATTTGCTGAGTGACCTATAAAGAGAAAACACAGAACTTTACTATTTGGTCTTGTTCGATAATCACAACCATTCACGGACAAAAACTTTGCAGGACTGGGAAGTCGTCGTTAGAACAAAAAACCATAATAGTAGCCGAGTATGGAGAATAGAGACCGTCATATAAGTTGCAGTATAGAATTACCTGAGTTATCATCGATGGTGCATTTTGGAGATTTGAAGATCCATGGGCACCCATTGGCGCTTCTCTTTCATATGCAGAGATACCCTGATGTGGCTGCTTCTCCATATGAGTATATCAGCAGAAGGGTAGTAATTATCAAGTTGCCGAGGAGGCGGTATGTACTGAGGATTATGTCCATAACCAGCACCTACATTAGCATTTGGTGGGACACCTTGAAGGTGGACCCCAAGATTGGTGAGGTGACATGTGGTCCATCTGATGATTAGACCTTTGCATCTGGTGGAAACACGAAACAGATTTTCAATTATTTCATGCGATGAAGCACAATTAACCATTGGTCAACAATATTGAATCCTCACATGCATTTCAAATAATGGAATTATACTGTGGTCCACTAAGAACTTCCGGAGATGAGTTGCAATTAGCTCCACCGCTTGTGTACACTATTGCGTCTCCAACAACTTCGACAACCCTATCATCCTGAAGAGCAAAGACAGGAAGGTATTCTGCAGCATTTCACTTTATTCAACATAGAGAAACAGAAAATTAGTGTCAAATCATGCAAAGCACAAAACAAAATTACAAACAAAGTCCTTCGAACAAAATGATAATTGAATATAATCAGAGAAAATAACCTCAGTGACCGAAAATGTATTATAATATCGATTTTAACCACTTTTTCTGGATTTGCGAAAATGACCAACAAATTCGCAACGCGAACTCCAATTTCGCAACCCAGTTTCCAAATTCGCAACAAAGAAGTCAAATTCGCAACACTGAATTTCAAATTCGCAACTGAATTTCAAATTCGCAACTCATTTTTCGAATTCGCAACACGAATTTAATTTCGCAACAGGTTTTAGTTTCGCAACACAAATCTTTTGGGTATATAATTACGCAGCAGCAGCAACTTATAACTTAAATCGCAACTCATTCCATCTCCATCTATCACTCTCTCCGACGACATCCGTTCCTATATCTAACGACATCCTTCCCCATCTCTAATTTTTTTTACATAATTTTATTTATATATAATTTTTCAATGATTTCTCTCCCAAATTATCAACTATCAACTTAAATCTCAATACATATTCTGCGGCGTTTGTAAGAAAACGCCGGTAAAAATAAAAATCTACTGCGGCGTTTTTGTAGAAAACGCCGCTAAACATCAACTACTATTGCGGCGTTTTAATGATAAACGCCGCTAAATATCAATACCTTTTGCGGCGTTTGTTGAAAAATCGCCGCTATATGTTGTAACATATTGCGGCGTTTTTTGTTGAAAAACGCCGCAAACTTTAGCGGCGCTATTTTTAGCGGCGCTTTTAGCGGCGTTTTTTTTTACGCCGTATGTGTTTTTAGCGGCGTTTAAAAACGCCGCTAGAAGTAAAAAAAATGCCGCAATAAGCCACTTTTGCTGTAGTGCTAACTTAGTGATGATATGTAGTTTATAGCTCGTTTGTTTAGTAAATTAATTTACAATTTGTAGAATGAAATCATCTAATGTTGATCATGTTTGGATATATTTGTGTTTTGGAGGGTCATGGAAGAATGTTCATGGTGTTTTACAATATGTGCCTTTACCCATGAATCTTCAACTAAAACTGTCATTAAAAAAGTTAACTTATGAAACTCTAATGTTACGTGTTGCAAAGAAATTGAATTTAGAGCCTCTAAGTGGATTTAGGCTATCTTATCAGAGAAAAGGTAAAGTTTATTTGTTAACCGACAATGAAGATGTTGAACGATTCATTGCTTACATTAGTGTTTCGTAAGAAGATGATGTTACATTGTATGTTGTTGAACCTAGAAGTAGTGAAGTTGGGTCAGTAGCGGGTAGTAATCAACTAAGTTCTTCAACCCCAGTTTATGGTGCTCACAATGTACAATGTTGTTTTCAACCTCAAAATTTAATGGTTCCACCATAATTTCATCACCAAGAAAATTTTGTTTCACCACATTTCCAATACCAAACACAATCTCAAAACCCACAACATTTTCCTAATCCAAATCCCAATTAACTTTCAGCACCAAATTCCAGTTTTCGTATTGACCAGTTAGACGATTATGAGCCAACAGAAAAAATTGTGAGTACTAGTCAGTATTCGAAATTTGATCTTGGTCAATACTCAGATTTTGATGATGTTTCAGAAGAAGAAACAGACACTGCGTGTAATGATTTTGATATTGGTCAATACCCGAATTTTGATGATGAAACAGCCATTGCCGAGGAAGATGTTGTTGATGATAATAAGGAGGAAGTTACGACTGTGAATGAACATGTTGAACATCCATTCTGTAATTCATATAACCCTGAAGAAAAAAAAGAAGAAGAAGTCCTCGAAGAAAAGAAAAAGAAGAAAATGCCACGGGAGTATAACTGGGATATGCCAGAATTACTTCAGATACCGGAAGAAGATAGCAGTTGATTGTTACACAAAAGTTATTCGTATCAAGAAAGATGATTGTTTTGATACAAAGGAAGACTTGAAGATAGCTTTGTATACGAAATGTGTGGAAGATGGCTATCAACTAAAAGTTAACAAATCAAGCAAAGATCGTTTCGAAACAAAGTGTATGATTGACAAAAACTGTACGTGGCGTATGATTGCAAAGAGGATAAAAGATTGCAAAATGTTTCAAGTTGGGATTTTTATTGATAAAGATACATGTTCAAGAACCCAAGTTTTTCCTCACCATAGATAGGAAAACAAAAAGGTGTTGGGTGGTTTTCTGGCTGAGTTAATGTTTTTGAATGGAAGAGTATATCAGAGACATGAAATTATGACTGACATGAATGCTCGGTTCAAGATTAGTATCTCATATTCTCAAGCTTGAAGAGCCAAATGTTATGCCTTGGAATTGTTGAGGGGGTCTCCAGAAGCATCGTTTGCCCAACTGCCGGCTTATTGTCACAATTTAAAGCTGAAAAATCCTGGGTCGGTAACTCATATCAAAACAGATAGAGATGGATGCTTTGAGTTGTTGCTTATCACCATTGGTGATGCGGTTAGTAAATCAATATAATTTTGTTAACTCATTTTTGTTAGTTACATGCATTTCACATTTAAATGATTATATGTCTTGTGTATATTATTTTGTAGATTCGTTCGTTTATTACTTATATGCGCCCAGTTATTATAGTTGATGAATCACATTTGAAAGGTCGATACCTTGGTGTAAACTTATTTGCAGTAGCCATGAATGCTAATAATGGGATACTGCCAATAACTTACGGGGTTGGCAAATCTGAAACCTCTGATTCATGGACATGGTTTATG